TTTTATCACCTTAATAAATTATTTAGCAACACGTGGGGGTTAATGTCGAATTAACAAAACAACCCTTCAGTGTGACGGAGTAAGGGGTACTGGAATATGGGAAAGGGGGTCCTTGCTCCCTCACACCTCAAGAAGGCTCCACAGTCGAAATACTGCATTTGTCCCCTCTTTTTGTCCCTTTGCAGCTCACACACTGAAGTAGGTCCCCCACTCACACCTCATTACATTCAAGGCAAGACTTTGGGAACATTAACAACAATAAATCATTATTACTATTATTAAAGCTGCTTCAACAAGGTAATGAATTATGTGTAATGACAGTACAGCATCTCTCTACCTTCTGTTCATGTTAAGAATCCTGTTTCTTAAGACCTGGGACTGAAAGCAAAGGTTTCAAATGCTATTCTTTTCAGTAGCTTTCACATGATCTTAAATAAGAATTACCCCCGTTTATGTGAAGAAGCAGCAATGATCTATGAACCTATGAAGCTATGAGGAGGAATAACTATTACACTGCAAAAAAATTCATTCATTCATTCATATGAGCAGTGACTGAAGAAAAAAGACAATGTAAGAGTGAATTCAAACACAACTGCTCACTAACCAAAGCTCATCACAACAATTCCCACAACATCTATATTAATGAAAAGGGAAAACGGAGCCACAAAAATCAGGAGAAGATCTGGGTGTAGACCAAGGAAACTGAAGTCCCAGATAATACTGAGACAGCACGAACCCGTTTTAATCAATGACACTTAAGAAGAAATAAATACACAAATGCTATCCTAAAAAAGGAGAGGGCCTCAAGCTTGCACAATGGGTGAGCACTTCGTATATACACTTGTGATGCTTTTTTCTCTTGTGTATTAATGCAAGTTTTACCACAAATGCATTAAAGGGGAAGCAATGTTGCGCAGAAAAATTATAGTTTTCAATGTTTATATGTTATATGGTTTTTGATAGTCTTTTTTTCCCCCAAATGAAAAGCACTCTACTAGCACTCAGCCACTGGAAATAGTCATCTTGACCCAGGCTCTTCAGGCTGTTGCTGGGATACAGAGATGGGAATATGAGAGGGAAGATTGTTGCACACAGCTGTGTTTCACTGATTACAGCAGGATGTCATGTTACTGGTCAATGGCTATCCAAGTAGAAATATTTCCTGTTTCTTTGCAGCATTTTCCAATGACCTTAATTGTCACTATGGTGTAGTGTCCACCCTAGATAAGCTTTTCCAATGACCTGTATATAGCCACTTTTGATGTTCAAAAGAAAAATGATTATAATAATTCTTGGCTAAAGGAACACACAGGAACTAATATCTTTTAATAAAGTTTTTTTATTATCCAGTTTAACCAATGTGTTCTTAAACTGGAGTCGGACACCAGACAATATTCTATCCAAACCCGGCAAGAAGCACTGCATGGGAATTCGTCTACAGTTACTTGAGCGACACATAATATAAATATAACATATAAAATGCACGGAATAAATTAGAAGAGAGCAATACACATCTTTATCTTTGAAGCTTTCACACGGTTGTTCAATGCTGTGATTGTAATAATTTATTAGTTTACAAATTGTATTTAATTCTCGCCCCTTTAAATATATTGTGTGAATCAAGGAGGAAAGTTCTGATCTTGATGCCAGTGGGTTATGGGGTGGGTGAATATTACTGCCTTGGTACATCTGTTTCTCCATGGTTCCACGGATCTGGGTCTGTGGCTGGAAGGTGGCCGGTTCAAATCCCCCAGCGGGCAGAGGAATCCTACTCCGTTGGGCCCCTGAGCAAGGCCCTTAACCCCAACTGCTCCGGGGGTGCTGTATAAATGGCTGACCCTGCGCTCTGACCCCAAGCTCTCTCCCTGTCTGTGTGTCTGTGTGTCTCATGGAGAGCAAGCTGGAGTATGCGAAAAGATGAATTCCAAGAAATTGTACAGGGCTAATAAAGTGATCTTATCTTAACCATTTTCAAAGCTCATAACACTGCACAGCCCCTGCACAACATTTCTGTAGTAACAAATAATCAAAATATGTACCAAACAACAGCAATCCTTTTATTTTCCAATAACCTGAGCACCCGGAGGAAACCCATGCAAACACAGAGAGAACATCTGAACTCCATGCAGACAGCACTCCAGATCTCGAACCCAGGTTCCAAGCGTTGTGAGACAGATATGGTAACTACTAGGCTACCCTGTCACCCTATTATATCCTATTGTGTTAAATTACAAATGTAATTTTTTTTAAGCGAACATATTTAATCAAAATTCAAAATCCTGACGGGTGGGAAGCTAGTGATGTTCCTCGTATTACCACATATTATGATGTAATATCATCACTTCATACTAGTCTGACCTCTTGAGTATGGAGTATGGAGTATGGAGTATGGAGTATGGAGTATGGAGTATGGGATGTATCCCCAAGAACAGCAAATAATAAAGACAGAGCAGCAGACTCAGCGTGTAACTTTCTGAATTGAGCACATTCTTCCCTCTCCTTTTCATTCTCTCACTTTTACTTCTGACCTGAAGTCATCCCTTCCAACCATGACTACAAAGACCATCCACAGAAGAGCAAAAAAACTGTCAGACAACATAATGGCAACTTCAATGAGTGGTGATTGGTTTTGCAGTATTAAGAGATGTACTGCAAAAGCAGCTGCCAAATAACCAGAACCATAAAACCAGCCACAACTGCAGCACAAAACTCCAGCAGTTAAGAAAGATGTAGCCCATTTTGCCATAACTCTAAATAATTTCACGTTCTTCTCCAAACTTAATGGTTTTACCAAATGAGACAAAGAAATATATTGAAATAAATGAGAGTCTGATGCATTAGTGATTGCAATTACCATAAGCACCTATTTCAGTCTTTAGCAGTTTGACAGTCAGGCTACAACAGTGTCACGACTTTTCCCGCTAAGCTACAGGGTAATTGGATTGTTTTCATCTCAGCATGCTCCCTGCTGAACCACAATAAGAATGAGGAAGAATGCTTTAAACTTCTGCAGGTTTGGAAAAGATATACTTTTTCAAACCGCACACATCAAACAGCGTAAAATGAATATCCTTGCCTTATGGAATGAAAAAACTTAATACATTCAGAGCTCTCTATAAGTTTCAAGTTGAAAACACCATCTTCACAGGAACTTCCTGTCAAAGAAAATTATCCCTATCAATAAAAAGACTACACAGTGTCTTTTGTTTCTGCTTTCAGCTTCATGGTCTGTACTTCAGTACTCACTGTACACAGAACAAAAGCCTACTGTACAGAACAGTAAAGCAGTCTATAAGTCATGGCATTTTTCGGAACTACATCATCCATTCTAGCATGAAAGGATGTCTTTGTTAATGAATACAAAAAGATGCAATTGTTACTCAGGGCATGCCGGGTTTAGATTGAAGACAGGTAAAAAAAAAAATCCATAAAATGATTAGGGCAGAGTGTCCACTGCAAATCGTAACCAACTCAACACGTGTTCCAAAATTCGAAAACTGACACTGTGAGAAAAGAAGAAAGTGTAAGGCAAACTGGGGAGCATCTCGTCTGATGCCGTTTGTATTGTCTGAGTCATCATCGTTCTGGAATTCCTACTTAATCTGATATGCACTGACAAAAGAGGCTTTTTTACTGATGCCTTTCAATAGAGACTTTGATGACTCCTGCGCCTGAGACATCCAATTGCATATCTATAAATGATCCAAAACCATGCACCAGAATGTACTATTCTGAAAATTACATGGGATATGTAGACACGCTTGGCCACTAACAGTTAATATAGTTTTAGATACAGTATGTTCCTGCATAGAGAGGCCAAAAGCCCATTATAAGAAATCAACAGTATGTATTGTCATGTTGAAAAGATAATGCATGAATGCACAATGACTGAATCTGATAAGCAGTGGCGGGCAATGTGTCCAAGACATCAGTATAAGCAGAACTGTACTCATTACTGAAAAATTAATTTAGCAGTTGGAATAGACAGCTTTCTAAAGCCTACCTAACAGCAATTTAGCCAATTGTCTGGACATGATCAGACCTAACCTTCAACTGGAAGACCTCGCTGACAGCGTACAGGAAGAACAGACTGCCTGCATACAGCCAGCAATTGAAAAGTGTATTTTAATCCTTCTCTGTGATAAACTGAAAGGGTGGCGGACAATTAATCTAAATCAAAGGGCTGCAAATTGTAGGAGAACTAAGGCTCGGCAGTACAAATAAGATCTAGGAAGCGGGATAGATTTTCTTCTTTTGCAAAACAAAATTATTTTTTTTTCCCTCATTTAGGACCGCTTGAATTATTCACAAGCTCTTGCAAAAAAAAAAGAAAACGAACCAATTTCATAATGAAAAAAAAACTTTAAGGAGAGGAAATCGGTGGCAGGAAATTTCTCCAATTTGTTCTCATGCCGGTACTTTAAAATACAGTACATGGAAAAAAAATAGAAAGATTGGTATATTATATATTTTGCTCCTTTGCATTTTACTGTTCAAATTCTATTATTTTTTGGAGAAGACAACCTTAAAATGAATGTTGAGAACTAGAAACAAATGACCAACTGGCTAACAGACGGGTTTTTTTGACATAATGAAAAATGACAATGCTTATAATGCCTTCAGTTGGGTAAAATGAAATAAATTCTAGATTGAGTTATAGAATTTCATCATGTTTGTCATGTATATTAAAAAAGGGAACACAAACCAGAAGATATCTTATGTATACCGATCATAGCTGCAATAATCTCAGGGAACTAAGCACACTGCAGCTCCAGCAAAAGAGAAGTACCGTTTAAAAAAAGACAAATTTAATCAATTTTAAATCCTACTATGAAGTATGACCTAAACTGTTCTACACTGCCTTAACAGTCTGGGCACTTCTCACTGTTCACCTTTCATTCAATATAATCTGTACAGAAAAGCAAGTTATTCAAAATGTATGCTGTGATGCCTGAGCACATATGCTGAAACAGTGCTGAGGAAGTATATGAGCCGTTTACCTTTCTTGATGCATGGATATCAAAGAATGGCTTGTTCCTGACACTGAAAGGTTCCTTCGTTTTGTCAATTTGTCCATTCTTCATTTTCTCCAGCCTCGGGGATATTATTTCCTTTTCTATACAAAGCAGCCGGATGTTAAAATCACATTGACCCACTGGCTGCCCCTGAAAACGAGAAAAAAATGGAATATTACTTGGTTTCTCCTTGGAATAATACTTTCAACCTAAAAAAAGACCAAAAATCTGATTATTTTTCCTGCTTGTTCTGTAAAGCCCATTTACACATCATTACCCCTTCATTCTTAAAATAGTCAATATTGCACAATATTCTATTAGTGTCTATTAGCAGAGAGGAGTATTAGTTGCACAAATATTAACTACGTTTTTTAATATGTCACATTTGTACAATAATAAGAAAGTTGGATTTGATCAACCACTGACCTGTTATGTAAAGTCTTTTACTACATCAATACATTTTTACTTTTGGTGAAAATGTGCATAAAATGAGTGAGAAGCAAAGTGATGGCGAAGCTAACTCATTTAAAGGTACTCCTGTATCCACTGCGTAGCCTGAACTGCCAGATATGACAGCACTAACTTTATTGATTTGCATCTCATCTTCACTAGTTTAAGTTCTGCCTCCTGTTTTAAACTGACAGATCATTGAGATTAAAACAATCTGATTCATAAATGTCTTTAAAGGCATCAGTCACTGTGTTTTACAACATCCTCTGCTGTGGTTTCTGTTTGGGCCACAGTGCCATGTTGATTAGTTTTAAGCAGACTTCTCTGTATAGCGTTCTCGATCCCTTTGCTTAATTCCAAGCCAACCCAAACTTCAATAAAGAATGAAACAATTCTAGCCTGCAATAACTGCTAACTTTTTCAAATGCAGACATGCGCAGGCACTGTATTTTAATTTCTCGACTGAGCACTGACTCAATAAATACAAAGAAGTCTTTTGAGACAGTCCTCCTGAGCAAAATTCATCGCTATAAATATAGAATCAGCTAGGGACCCACGGATGAGTCACAAACGCTGTAAAATCCTTCCAAGCGCGCAGTCACTTAACTTGAGGCAGGCAGGTTTTATCCTCACCTGCTGAAAAGTCTACTCTCGTGTTTGTGGGGCCAACATTATCTTGGGTGGGACACGTAGTATTGGAAGAATACTTCACATAGTGATGACTCCCACTAAGACAAGTCCTGAGCGAAGGATAAAAATCCTCCACAAATACGCAGTGCACTCCAGATTTCTTCATACCCTGCATGAAAAATCATTATCTAACAGAAAGATTTACGGACTGGAAGTGCCCTTTTTACAAAACGTAAAAATGATATTATGTAATCGGAACAGCACTGCCGGAGAAAAGATGTGTTTTCAGAAATAATTTACATTCATTCACAGATCTAAGTGTTCCTTTAAATAAAATCCAGCAGAAACAGATCTGCAGTGACATTAACAATTGCTCTCTGGAAGTGCAATGCAACCGGAACCAAATAAGAGTTTTGTCTTGTTTCCCTGGGTTCTAAAAGGAGGTAACACACTGAAGACACAACTGCATCATGCACCATTAGACTTAAGGTCAGAGAACTCTCTAAAGGCTGCAGGTAAATGCTCATTAACCTTCACAAGTTGGGAAGCGGCTTCAAAAGAATCCACAATAAGTTCAAACTTTTATTTTCCACCATATTTTCTATGATTAAGACACCTAAGGCTAACACTATACTGTCTGCCCCACAAGGAAGAGGAAGCCAGTGCATCTCCCCATGCCGGACTGTGACACAAGTTGTTTGGGAGACAACTGTGAACCCAAAGGCAACAGCTGCTTGTTCTTTGTCTCTTCCCTGACCTAACGGAACATCCTACACTGGCAAGCTGAAAGAACTGAACCTTTCTAGTCTGGAAGAGAGAAGACTACAAAGAGACCTGATACAACCATTCAAACTCTGCACAGGTAAAGCACTGACACCGTCACGTACCAGGTCATTGAGGCTTAATATCCGGTTCCTCTGCCAGGAGAGTCAAGCTTTGCAGAAAATGGACATTCCAGCACGACAACAATCCAAAACGTACTTCAGAATCACTAAAGGCACGATTAACTGCACACAAATAAATGTTCTCAAATCGCCATCTCCATCTGCAGATCTCCATCCAATCAAAAACTTGTTATTCAAACTCGAGAAGACCGTTCACAAATGGAGACTGAAGGGTCTGAGGACTTAGAGCATTTGTACCTCGAAGAGTGGTCAAAGTCCCCCTCAGAGGTGCCTACAGGAGGAATCTTGTATAATTCATGCCAGAGGAAAATGTCAAAACTGCCAACGACAGAGGTGTGAATAAATGTGACCCTTGTGTTTCCTGGACTTCATGACAAATATGATTTTCCTCGGTGAATGCCATTCAGATTATAGCATAACATTTTGGAATACTTTTTGAAGCACTTTTAAAATGTGTTGATGTGATGTGATTTGTACAGATTCCATTGGGGATATGAATAAATCTGGAGGGCACTGTATATATTAATCTAAATTAGTAGCTTGTGTGCAAAAATGAACCGTTACCTAGACTTTCTTATATTTAGATGATATATACAATCCAATAGAAAGTGCCTCTCGTGTCTCAAGGCCTATAGAAGAATAGTTACGGTTGTAGAGTTTTAATTGTGTTGAACACTATGAGCTACTCCTGAGAAAAGAGCTGCTCCTATCAAGAGATTGCCCCTTAGCTTCACATTTCACTCTGTGCAAGACTGTAAAAAAGACCAGTGAACTGGAGCCGATACTAAACATTGTAGAGGAAGAAAACCCCAAATATCCAAGGGCAAAGCAAATTTCCTGAGAGCGACAGGTCTGTGTGAGAGGCAGCGGACCAGCGGAGAGCGTGTGACGAGCCCCGCTGCACACACAGGAGCGACACGCTTCTTCCAGAGCAGCGCGGTGCTCTCGGGGAGCGTGGAGCTCGGAAACCTCTGCCTCGGGCCTTTTCCCTTCCTTTCGGAGCCAGCTGCAAGCCCACGGGAGCCACAGCTCTGAATATCTGCACTCCTGCCTTGTGTGGTTCCTTCTCGGGAGCCAGCGATCGCGCCACATGCAGTACTGCTGTACCATCACCCCCTACACGAACACAGGTCTCGAAAGCACTCTCACACTGTAGCTTGCTGGTATGATTTCTTCAAGCAACAGATTCCCTCTAAAGCTGGCAATATAAAAAGGCATTTATATTATATACCAATATTTTCATATATATACTATTTCTGTGCTTCTATGCACAGTGTGCTTTAAGAGCTTGGGATGAGCTCTGTATTGTTGCAGTTTACCAGGTTTCTGATATTGGATTCAAATACAGCACTTATTGCCTATCTCATGTTTTTTTTCTGATTTCACATCTCTCTCGGTCTTCTTTCTTTTGACAATGTTAATGGCCACTCTACTCCACTTAGAGCGAGTCACCCTTCTGGAAAGGCGTCTCAGTCTGCTTGCCACAGCACAGAGAGGGCAGGGGGTGGTGAGGTGAAGCAGCAGAGCTTCATTGCCCACTGGTGAAATAATTTGCTTCCCTGAAAAATTTCTCCAAAACACTGCTTTCATTTAGGATGGAAAACACTCAGGGTATCACAAGGGGCTCAGATGAAAAGACATGAAAACCCAACTCATTTAAAATCACAGGAAAGGAGGGGGACACACCCATGTACCACTTACTGGGCGCTCAAACGTTTGTATTTGTACTGCAAGAAATGGCAATCCACACGCTTAATTACATGTTGAATTTCACACATGATGTACTTACAGACACAGAATGTAATTCAATTACCTAAACCATTTTTGCTTGTGTTTGTGCTTAGCTGTACTAAATAAGTTGAGTGCCCCTCATTCAGAATAAATAACCTACAAAATAACCTGGCAATTAGTTAACTAATGCAGATGGATGGCTTTAATCCTATAATTAAGCCTCTATTAATACTGCTCTTTCAGACATGTTTTAAATTGATGGCAAACAATTGCCATGGCAACAGTGAACAAATACAACTATCATGCACTCGCTCAATACGTGTGGATGTATCTGCAGCATTATTTTCGTTTTGAAATGCAGCATAAAGCCTGTTAGATGCCCTGAAAGCACTGAAGCATTTCCCCTGCTTTTTACCAAAACGGAAGCCTGCTTTGTAAAATGTACCTATAGTAACATTTTCCTTAAATCTACGCCCTCGTTTGGTTCAAAACAGAGCATGTTTCTTTTCCTGTCCCTCTGAGGGGATTGCCACTCTCGAAAGTGAGAAATAAACCTCATCTTCAGCCCACAGAGGCGACGCTGACCTCCAAGCTGAGAGGCTGTAACACCACATTTGTGAAGTCCAACTGAATCAATCCCACAACATTTTTCTTCTGAAACCACACGGCATCAAACAACCAGGGCCAGGACCTTCTAACATACGGAACTGCAAAATCACACACGACACAATCTACAGCTATGGTTTAAAGGTGGATAAAAATAAAATACACTTTGCCAACAATCAGTGCCACATGTCCATAAATTTACTATATCTCTCATTTCATTGATAGCTCTGAAAGTATAGAATGAAGCACTGTCGATCTACTATTTCTTAACACACTGGCTTCCATTTGAATGCCGCCTAACATATTCTAAGATTTCTATTACCTCGGTACAATATCTTACAAAATTAAATGTAATCCGATTCTCCCCCCCCCAAGTACTGGTGACAATTTCAAAAGTGGCCGCAGCAAGGCATCTGCTTTGACTGGAAAGGAATACGCTTCTGTGCGATTTGCCTGGTTTATATATAACGCATGAAGAGGAGCGAAACTGTGCGTCAACCCCATTTAAAAATGCATGGCCATGTGAGTCATAGTGGCATTAGAAGATAGCAGAACTGCTTCTGTTACTCTGGTCAAGGAGCAAAGGAGAGGTATAATGACTTTGCTATTTACGAGCTCCGGGGACGTCTGTGAAAATTGAATTTAAGCAAATCTGACTTTCACAAGACAGGCAAGAAACAAGAATTCAACAGTGACAAAATGCGTTTCTCACAGCAGTGAAGGAACAATTAGCTCGGTCTGCCCGACTCCTGCTTCAGACACGAGGAGTATTCCAACTCCTGCATCACTTAGGAAAATATGCGGTGTGTCAATTTGTTTAATTAATCA